CCCTTTACAGAAAAAAAAACCCAGGGGTGTTCAAACTTGACAGCTTTAAGACTTGTGGACTTCAACTCCCAGAATTCCTCCACTCGCTCTTCATCTCGATGATGTGCAGATGGGCGAGGGGGAGGGAGCTGGAACCGGTTCTAAACGGCAGGGTAGATTTGGGGAACCTCTTCTACAGAAGAGGTTCTAAAAATTTTTGAAACCCACCAGTTGGTAGGTCTCTCAGGCTGAGGCTGGTGGGGCCTCTGAAGCATGGCCCAGGCCTTCAAACCGATGCTTTCCTCCACAGGAAGGAGGCTGCAGTGTGCCAGTGGCCGTGAGCACCCTGCTGAAGGATGGCCAGGTAAAGGCAACTGGCTGCTCCCCCTCCTGCTTCCTGGCTTCCACTGAAAGGCAGACACCAACAGAGGGCAGAGGCCTGGGGGGGGGGGGAGTTTAGAGAGAGCACCTTTTTTTAAAGGAACTAAAATGGGGGGGGGAGGGAGGGCTGCCCACAAATGCATTTCTCTCCCTTCTGCTTGCTGATCAGTCTCAACATCCCTCTTCTCTCTTCTCCAGCTGTATTTGACTGGAGCAGTCTACAGCCTTGATGGTTCTGAGAGCTTACAAGAGACCATGCAAAGAAATGTGAATTTTTCCCTGGAGGTAAACGCAGCCTTGATTGCGCATAGAACTCTTTCAGGCTGGCCGTGTGGGATAACAGAACACTTTACTGCAGGGAGCCAATCTGGGCACGTTCTGGGGGTGCTTCCCTATTGTTAGCCGTCAGTTCAACCGGCATGCCACGGCCCTGAAACTCTCCCTAGGCTGAAACATTTCCCACGGGCTGTCCTTCCTTTTCAGAATGAAGATGGCCCGGATGATAACCTCCAACATGTTGGCATCACAGCAAGGAATGTACCCCGTCTTGCTCAGGAGGCAGCCGAGAGGCTGGGGCAGGAGGTGGCCGATCTGCTGCTGAGCAAAGGGGCCAAAGAGATTCTCAGTGTGGCAAGGCAGCTCAGCAGTGCATGATGGGCACCACCTCCTGGGAGAGCTATGATGCCGGCCAGTTGTCCGTCCCTCCTGGAGGAGAGGGGAGCAAGGGAAGGGCTGCCACTGCACTGCCGGGGGAGCAGCTGAACTCCAGTTGGTGCAAAGGTGCCAGCAGATTCTGGGCAAGAATCGCCAATCTGCACAGCCGCCAAGAACTCGCCGGTCGGCCCAGGCAGGGCTGTAAAGTGGGACTCTGCTGGGGACTCGGGAACAATTATGGCTAAAACCGATTAAAGAGCTGGAACACGCGACTGCCCCGAGTCTGCCGCTTCTTCCGCCGAACCCTCCCAGGCTGCAGCCCACCGCGTTCTTTGCCCGCCAAAGAGCAGCCCTGAAAAGGCCCGTTTCCGAGGGAGGCAGGGAAACGGCCGGCCAGGGGGCTACCTCCCCGCCCCCGCCGCGAGGCAATGCGGCCGGCCTGGAGATTACCCCCCCTCCCCGCCTAGCTTGGCGCGCGCAGGGACCACAAACGGGCGGACGAGCGCGCGCTTTTAACGTCCTTTTATTGGGTGCAGCCCCGCCATGGAGCGGAGCGCGGGCCGCCCCTTCCCGCCGCCCAGCCCCGAGTCCAAGCACGTGGCGCCGCACGGGGCCCACTACTCCAGCTCCGCAGCCTCGGCTCGCTCTTCGCCGCCGCGCCTAGTACTCCTGCGAGGCCTGGAGGGCGCCCTTCTTCCGTCCGGCCGCTCCGCCACCCTGAGCCGCGGCCTTCCGGGGCAGGAGCGCGGCGGGGATGTTGGGCAGGACGCCGCCCTGCGCGATGGTGACGCGGCCCAGGAGGCGGCTGAGCTCCTCGTCGTTGCGCACCGCCAGCTGGACGTGCCGCGGGACGATGCGGGTCTTGCGGTTGTCGCGCGCCGCGTTGCCCGCCAGCTCCAGGATCTCGGCCGTCAGGTACTCCAGCACCGCCGCCAGGTAGACGGGGGCTCCGGCGCCCACCCGCTCCGCGTAGCGTCCGCGCCGCAGCAGCCGATGCACGCGGCCCACCGGGAACTGCAGGCCGGCGCGCGAGGAGCGCGACTTCGCCTTGCTCCGCGTCTTCCCGCCGCCCACCTTGCCTCGACCAGACATGGCCGGCGCCCAAGAAGTGATCAGCCGGCGCCCCCGGGAGGGCGCTTTTATATGGCCCGCGCTTCTCACGGCGGCCCGCCCACCGCGGCCGCCCATTGGACCCCGCGGCCCGCGGTTCTGCTCATTGGCTGGCGCCGGGGCCACTGAGCGGGCCGCGCGCGCGATTCAAAGGTTGGCGAAGTCCTCCCCGAAAAAGTCTCCTCCCCCAGGAGCGATGCGTGTGAAATCACGGAACACAGAATCCTAGGAGCGGAAGGGACCTCCGAGGTCTTCTGATCCAATCCCCTGCTCAAGGCAGGAGATCTCATGCCATCCCCGTCAAATGGTTGCCCAGTCTATTTCTGTCCAGGGACAGAACACCCACCACTTCCAGAGACAAGCTAGTCCAGGGATTATTCTGTCAGAAAACTGCTCCTTAGTTCTAGGAAAAATCTCTCTTTAACAAGCTCCCACCCGTTACTTCTTGTCTTGGTATCTGGTGCTTTGGAGAATAAGTCAATCCCCTCATCTGCGATGGCCCCTCAAGTTCTGGAAGACAGTTATCATCCCCACCCCACCCCATCCTCCTGTCCTATAACTTAAGACATACGCAGCTCCCTCCACTGTTCACACAATTCAGCCCCTCTTCATCCTTCTTTCTTGCGCTTCCCTGCACTCTTTCTAGGGCCTCAGCATCTTTTTTTCTATCATGGCAGCCAGAACTGGATGCGCAACTCCTAGTCTTATCGGTGGGGTACAAAGCTGTACTGTCACTTCTTGTAATCTTTGTGCTGTCCCTCTGTTGATGCAGCCCACAACCGCATCGGCCTTTTTGGCAGATGGCTGGCTCAGACTTCTGGGGGTCCACTAGGATGCCTAGATCTCTGACCCCTAGACCTGCTGAGACAGGTACGTCCTTTAGTCACTGTCAGAAAAGGTTTGTCTGGCATGATCTGTTTTTAAGAAACTTATGTTGGCTTCTGGTAATCACCTTGTTTGTTTCTAGGTGTTCACAAATCGCCCGCTTGATTATCTTTTCCAGGGTTTTCCATGTGTTGACATTGAACTGATTGTCCTATAATTTTCTGGATTCATTTCCCCCTTTTTATAGATTTCCCCCTTTTCCAGTCCTCTGGTAGATTCCCTGTGCTACAAGACATTTGAAAGATTACGTTCTGTGGCTCTGAAATTACATCTGCTCACTCCTTCAGAACTCTGGGATGCAAACCATCAGGCCAAGTTGATCTGTACTCCTCCAGGTTGGATAGGTATTCTCCTACTAATTCCTTTCTTATTTCAACCTATTCTATCGCCCTCAGTGCTGCTTTTGGTAGGTTATTCCTCCTTTTACGTAAAAACAGAAGCAAAGAAGGAATTCTGCTTTCTCCCTGCTCCCTCTTACCTTCTCCTCTCCAGCTTAAGGTAAAGCTCAAGGTTCCCCTCACACATATGTTGTAGTCATCTCTGTTTCAAAGCCGAAGAGCCAGCACTATCCAAAGACTTCTCTGATCATGTGGCCGGCATGACTAAATGCACGGAACCCTGTTCCCTTCCCACCAAAGGTGGTCCCTATTTTTCTACTTGCATTTTTTAACGTGCTTTCGAACTGCTAGGTTGGCAGAAGCCGGGACAAGTAATGGGAGCTCACTCCGTTACACTAGGGATTCGAACTGCCGACCTTTCTGATCGACAAGCTCAGCTTCTTAGCCACTGAGCCACCGTGTCCCTGTCCAGCTTACCCTCTGCCTATTCCTATACCCTGTGCTCAAAATTCCCAGTCTCTTCCCATCCACCCCTCTACAGCAACCCAACACATAAATGCTTCGGGAACCAAACAGGATGTACAAAAACACAGTACAAATTTATACCCAGCAAAGTTTGTGGGAAGGATGGTCGTACAGCAGTTCCAAACAGGCTTCAGAGCAACATCTCAAACACACAAAGTTCTTTTCAGCACAAAGTGAAGAAACCAAAATCAGATCCTCCCCCGGAGAAGAGGGCAAGGAAGGCATTTACGAAGCTAAGTGTCCCCTGCTTCACCTGTTGCTACAGGCCTTGACTCCGTTGGATTCCCTCCCAAGGATGCAAGAGGCCCGTGGGCAGCTTGAGTTCACCAGAGGGGATAATGTTGCTTCCGAGCTGCATCCAGAAGAGGCCGACAGCCGGACTCTGGCTGGTCTGATCTTCCCGGTGGAGGCAGCAGCATCCCACCTTCTGACGGGAGCTGAGAGGCGCCCTGGGAAGGGCTGCATTCAGGCTTTTCTCAGATGGAATGGATAACAGGGACGGAGGAGGATCAAACAGGTCAGCTCAGACGTCATAAAACAGCCGCACAAGCTGGTACCGGATACCAAAAGCTACCAAGCTACCAGCAACCTCGAGAGAGAGAAAGGAGAGGAGGGACGATAGTGCAAACACGCAGCCCCTCATGGCCCATCGCACGGAGGCTTTGCTCCCCCGGACCATAACTGCTGGATTGCAAAGTACATCCTGCTTTGCAGTCTCACGTAACATACCAAGGCAGTCAGGCAACAGTGTGTGTACTATGGAAACTGCAACTGCTTAATCTTCCCCTAAGCAGGTTTTGTTATCTCCAAGGGAGCATCACTGAAGCTGCCTCCCCCCCTCCCCCAATTGTGCTGCTTACCTGGATTAGCAGCAGCAGAACCGTCAGTTTTTGTTCAGGGGTTGGTCCTATCAGCTTCAGCACAAAGTTAATGAGGGTCATGTTGCTGCATTCTGTGAATTCTCCATCCTTGTCTGTTCCCTGACGCACATTCACCAGGCAGAGTTTCCCAGCTACCTGGGGAGGAATAGCCATCCCCTCTCAGGTAAAGCTTCGTCAGCACGAGGCAGAGCCAAGACGCTCTCGGAGGATTGCTGCCCCAGCCGACCTTCCTGCTTCGGTTAACAGTTACCTTAAGGGTATACGCTCCCCATGGAGAGAGGTTCTTTGCTTTGAATCTCGAGTAGCTCATCTCTAGCTTCCCCGTCTCTGCGTTGAATCTGAAGGCAGAGATGGAGGCAGTCAGAAGGGAAATGGGGAGGTAGCTGAGGCCAGGATGAGCAGAAACCTGGTTGCAGTAGGGACTGCAGACGAGACCTGATCAAACCCTCTGTCCCAAGAAAAGGAATAGCTCTGAGTGAAAGCCAGGAGACCCTTTGTGAAGTTTGGGTTGACAAGTCCCACTGAGGAGGACAGTTCAGGAGCGTGAAGGATACGAGAAGACAAAGGGAAGGGAAGGGAAAGGGAAAAGGAGAGGAAGGGAAGGGAAATATAGGTCTCAGCAAATGGGATTTACAACCCCGATCTTTGTCAAGGACCACCAATTCCTTTCCCTTCCTTGGCTTCCCCACTGGTCGCAGCCCTTCTCACCTGGGCAGCCGATGGCGGGGGCACGGGATGATGTGGAAAAGCTGAGGCAGCGAGTAGAGGAAGTTGGCCACTTGCGGGATGAAGAAGAGAAGCATCGTCTTGCTGAAGTGCCCAAGGATGCCCACCACGGCAAAGGTCATGCCGGCAAAGTAGCAGAAGGTGTCTCCCACAAACACACGGGAAGGGTACCTGCACTCAGCCAGGAGGGGAAGCAGACGGGGCAGCCCAGTAAGCATTCCCCCAACAGAAGGCAGAAGGCAGGAAGCCTTGTGCATAACAAAGAGAAGGCACTTTAAAAGGCACATTCGTTTCCTCCGTCTCTTCCTTCTCAGGAAAGAAAGTTCCAAAGTGCCCCGAGGGTGGGAGTTGTGGGGCCCCTCCAGACCCCCACAATTTGTCCCGTAAGGAGTGTGGATCCTGCCGTGAGGAAAGGCTTTGCCTTCAAAAAGGATGTGTGTCTTGCTTACCAGTTGTGGTACAGCAGCCCCAGCGTAGTAAAGAAAAAGGGAATCATGAAGTAGAGGGAGAAGACGTGGTCATCCTTGCAATCCCCTGTGAGAAGGAAAGCAAGGAGCAGCCAGGTTAGGCGACTGGCAGGGCCCGACCGGCCCTCGTAAAGAGCGGGCTAAATCATGCGCACCCACCCGTTAACTCCGCAATATTGAAAGCGATGATGGAGGCAGAAATCACCAGAGACTGCCCGGCTTCCAGGCCGTTAATCCCAGCCAGAATGTTGATTGCGTTGGTGCAGAAGACGGCCAGCATGCCCATGTACACGTAGTAGAGTATCCCTGCAGGAAAAGCACGGGGCAAGCAGACCCCTCTGACCCTCTGCCAACTGGCACCAGGGCTGCCCCCCCCCCCAGCTGGCCATCCTGGCAGCCGCACTCCCGGCCGGGCGGTGGACTGACCTAGGTCGAGGTAGACGCCCAGCAGCACCCGGAAGGGCTTGGGCACCACGATGGTGGTGTTCCCGAAGTTGGTGAAGTAGACCATCAGCAGGGGCAGGGAGGCGGCGGTGGGCAGCAGCAGCTTGTGCCGCCAGCGCAGGTTGAGCACGTCGTCGGCGAAACCAAGGAAAATCATGCAGCAGATGGCCAGCAGGGCGCCCACCAGCGCCACCAGCTGCAAGGCAGCGGGCGGAGAGCCGTCAGCGCCACCGCCGCCGCCGCCCGCGGGGTCCCCCCCGCCCGCAGACCTTCCCCGGCGCCCGGCCCGGCTGACCTCGTGGTGCGGGAAGGCCTGGCAGCGCTCCCCGGCGAAGCAGCTCAGGAAGGGCACCGGGATGAAGCAGAAGAGGATGATCAGGAAGACGGCGCCGCTGATCACGCCCTGCGACTCGGGGCTGCGGGAGAGGGAGAGCGCGCGCCCGGTCAGCCTCCTCGGACCCCCCTCCCGCCCCCTCCCCTCCCCTGCCCTCCCCCCCCGCACTCACACGGGCTGCCTGGAGCGCTTGTTCAGGTCGGCCCCGCACAGCCGCGCCGCCAGGAAGTGCTCGCGGAAGGCGGGGATCAGGCGCAGCGTGGCCCAGCAGCCCAGCGCCGAGCCGCCCAGGTTGATCAGCAGCGGCACCACCGGCAGCTTCCCCATCGCGCCGCCGCCGCCGCCGCCGCCCTGCGGGGACAAGAGAGCCCGGCCGGTCAGCGCGGCTTCCGCCCGGAGTCCCCGCCCGCCTTCGCCTTGCCCTGGCTGCAAATGGCGGACCGCTCGGCCCTCACGTGACAGCTGCCCGCTGCCCCACGTCACCCGGCTGGCTGGCTGGCTGGCTCGCGGGCGGGGTCATTTAAAGGGACCGCAGCGACGTTTGGCGCAGCGGGGCGCAGCTGGCCGCCTCTGCCGCTGGGGAAAGCCTTGCCCCGAAAGAGCGGGCCCGCAGCCGCCGCCCCAAGCGCCTCCGCCCGGCCGCCCCCCGGGGCTCCGCCGCGCCGCCCTTCCAGCCGGACGCGGCCCGGGCTGGGCTCCAAGGGGGCGGGAGGCGCCGGTGAGGCTCTGCGACCCCCCTCCGCCCTGCCCGCCTGGGGAGCCGCCGCAGCGCCGCAGCCTCTCGGGGGACGGAGCGGCGGGGGGATCGCTGCGGCGAGCGGGGCGTCTCTCCCGGACCTCCGGCGCCCTCCCCGCCTCGAGGGCCGCCACGCTCACCTGGTCGATCGGAGGGGGCGTCCCTTCGGCGTCCCTGTGGCAGGTGCCAGGCGAGCCGCGTCCGTCCTGCGCCTGGGAGGCGGCGTCGGGCTTAGCCCTGCCCAGCCCTCCGCCCGCCCGGCCCCTCTGAGCGCCGCGGCGCCCCGCCCAGCTGGGCCGTGACAGGAGGCGGAAGAGCCCGGCTGCCATGTAGCTCCGCGCCGGCTCCGGGAAGGAGGAGGAGGAGGAGGCGAGCCCGCTGCCCCCGCTGGCTTCGGACGCCTGGCCATGCATCCCGCGGCCGGCCCGTGAGCGGCGGGCGCGCCATGGAAGAAGAAGAAGCGGCGGCGGCGGGCTGGGGCTGGGCGGCGCTGGTGCTGCTCTTCGCCGCCTCGCTGCTCACCGTCTCGGCCTGGCTGCTGCAGCTGGGCCGGAGCCTATGGCGGGGGCGCGGACGGGCGGCAGGAGCCCCGCGCAGCCAGGCGGCCCCCGCCCCCGCCGGCCTCTGGGCGGCCGTGCTGCGCCTGGGCTCGGGCCGCGGGAGCTGTGCGGCGTCCGGGGCCCGCGGCTTGCTCGCCTCGCTCTTCGCCTTCCGCGCCTTCCGCGAGAACTGGCAGCGAGCCTGGCTGCGCGCCCTCAACGACCAGGCCCGCCAGCACGGGGTAAGCCGGGCGCCCAGCCGCCCTCCGACCGACCGACCGACCGGCGGGAGGGGAGTCAGGGGAGAAAGAAGCGGAGCGGCCGGCTCTTTCCTTGCCCGCAGCAGCCTCCGGCCCGAAGCCTGGCTTTCCCCGCGGAGCGATGTGGGGCTGCGCTCGCCGGAAAGGCGCTGCCTCCCCCGGCAGCTTCTTGCCGGCGGCGGGCGCTGGTGGAGCCTCTTGGCCGGCTTCTGCGGGCTGATGCTCGGAGCGGGCGGGCGGCCTGCCGGTTCCTGGCCGCCGGCCGAGCTCGGCTTTTTCCCCCCGTCAAGGAAGGCGAGATTGAGCGGCTCCCCTGGAGAGAGCGCCTGGTTGACGGGCGTTCGGGGGCTGGGCAGGAGTTCCTGGGCATCTTAACATGGGGAGCAGGGGGGCAACGGGGCCGCAGAGCCCACCTGGTGGGACGGGGAGCCTCTGCCGCAAGACTCCTGCCTGCCTGTCCGGGCTCTGAATTGCCCCCTTGCTCTCCGGGGAAGCGTCCTCGGGAGGCCTTGCCTGAAATGCCCCTCTGGACCGTTGCCCAAGTAAGACGCCCTGATTTGGACAAGGTGCAACTGCCTGAACCGCCTTTGCTGGATCAGCTCCAGCTTCTGGAGCTGCCCCCTGCAGGGCCTGCCGGGCTTGAGGCCAGTCTTGGGGCCGATTCCCTGCCGGGAAGGGAGATGCGGCAGGCAGGGCATGCAAAAGGCCAGGTTGCCCCTCCCTCCGCTACAGACTGAAACGAGGCTGACGGGGATGAAGAGGGCTGCTTCCCCTCCCCCACTTCTCCTGCCCCTGGATGCTGCTGGGCTCACTTTCCCGATCTCTCTCCTGCCCCTCCCCCCACTTCACTCCCCCACGGCTGTTTTATCCCACTCTTCTTCTTCTTACAAAAGAAAAGTGGGGCAGCATCACAGCCGCTCCCAATTAAGCTTGCCCCCTTCCCTCCTAAGACTAGCCCTCCGCTCCCCAGGGTCCTTCTGGCCGGCCCTCCTTTGCCCCTGGGGATCTGGAGTTTCCCCCACAGGCAGCCACAGAAGCCAAGAACTGGTGGACGGGGAGGGTGGGCAGAAGGCAGGGCGTCCTCTGCAGGGGAAGGGGATCCCTCTGGAAAGAACCCTGCGGAGAAACAGCGCCATCCCTGCAGGGCTGTGGAGGAAGACCTCATGTGTGTGTCCGTGCCGGTGCTTTTGTGCTGCCCCCTTTCTTGGCCTTCCCTCAGCAAGAGTGGAGCAAGGAGGGGCTGCCCTCCAAGGGGGCTGGATTGTGCTCCACTTGGAAAGGAGAAACGGCCAGAAGGCTTTTCAAGCGGAGCACAGTCCAGCCCCCTTGGGACCTGAACGCTGCTGCTGCTCTGCTCCAGTTGAGCCGTTCCAATTGTGGAGCTAATTTCCCTGCACCGTTTGCATAGTAACAGGCGTCATGTTCTCTTGTTCTCTGCTTACGTTTCTAGTTCCTCGGTTATACATTCAGTCCAGAAATAGTTGGCCCGTTTGCTGAACTGCAGGCCTGGGAGGGGGCTCCTTGTTCTGCATCTTAAGGACCCCAGAGCTGGAAGGCCACTAGCCTCCCCTCCCCCTCCCAGGAAGGGTCCCAAAGACCCAAAGGCCAGGGAAGAAGAGGGCCCTTCCTGCAGCCCAGCCTGCCATGCTTATCGGAGGGGTGGCATGCCGGCGCCAGCTCCATGGCAACGTGGCCATTGCTTCACCTGGTGCTGCATCCAACCCACGAGTGGGAGGTTGGGAGAGAGAGAGCGCTCTGGAGCAGGCTGTTCCCTCTGAATGATGCTGGGGGGGGGAGGGAAGGGGGGAAATTTCCAGGGGTTCACGGCCATTGGAGGTGCCTCCCGTTCGTTTTGGTTCTTTCTCTCCCTCCTGAACAAGCAGATCCAATGGGGTTGCTTGAGGGCCTCTCCTTGCCTGGGCTTCTCAGTGCTAGGACTTCACCAGGGGCTGAGAAAAGCCTTGTGCATCACCCGCCTGGCTGCCCCTGCTTGGACTGGCAGTGGAGGCCCGGCGCCTCCCGCTACGGCTTGAGAAATCAGTCCGTGCCCAAGAAGGGGGCTCCTCTGGACTCCCGCTGGATGCTCTTGGCAAGTGGCACCTCGCCTGGCCTTGCAGAAGAGCCCGGACTGCCAACATGACCTCCCGCAGGCTAACTGGGCTTTCTCCTCTCCAGAGCTCGGTCCAGATCACGTTCGAGGAAAGCCCTCGGCAGTTGCCAGCCGTAACTATCAGCCACGTGGCCTGCACTGACCAGTCGGATCGCAGGATGGTGAGTTCTCACCAGAAGGACCGCCTTGGCCTACAAAGTGTGGCCCCCGGCTGAACCCAGCCCGTTTCCCCATCTCTCCCCACCCACCGCCCTTCAGGCTCCTTCCCAACTCAGAGAAGCCTCCCAGGAGCCTCCAGCGTAATGGGTGTGTGTGTGGGTGCTTAGACTCCGGGGGAGGGGGGGCTTCCACCCTTTGGGCAGTCACCTCCCCCCCCCCTTTTCCCACTCAGACTCTGGCTGAGATGCCTCCATATGCCAGCAACTGTCTAAATATAGGCCAGGGTGGGTGTGGGCCCTGGGCTGGACTCCCCTCTGAAACTGCGGGAGAGTCCCCAGGAAGCCTTAGGAGGCGTCCCAAGGGAGAAGGGGGGCTCTCTGTCCCCAAAGGAGCCACCAGGTCAGTAGCAACTGCAGGGAACGTATCCAGGGGTTGCCAAAGCGTTGACAGGCGTCTAGGGAGGCTGACCTTGGCAGCTGCCCTCTGAGATCTCGTCAGCTGGCCTACAATCCGGCGGGTGAAGGGACAGAGGAGACGCGCCCATCAGCAGGAAGGTGGGGAGCCCTGGAGCTGGACAGAAGTGGCCGGATGGGGGGGAGGGGATGCTCTTTGCAGGCACCAGATGTCGGCTGGGAGATGGAGGCTTAAATTGCCTGGGAGCTCAGCTCTGAAAATAAGGAGGACACAGTCCTGGGATGTCAGCTGATCGGATAAGTGCTTTGCTCTGGAAGTATTGCTGCCTCCTCCGTAACCCCCGGGGGGGGGGGCTCTCTCGAGGCCCACCTGAATGGGGGTCAAGAGGCTCAGCCAGGGCTTGAAACCCCCAGTCTAGCCAAGAGCATCATGGGGCAGCAGAGAGGTGTGGATGTAGCTGCGTCTGACAGGAAGAGCAGCTCTGGACCTGGATTAAGACCGGGAGTTGAGCGGATTAACTTGTTTCCCTCTAAGATTGCAGGGAGGCAACTGTCTCTCCTCCTGTTTTCTTGCTGAAAGACGCCCCCCTCCCCCCCTCCCCCAGCCAACTGCTATTCACCCAGGTTGAGGGGCATCTCTATTTCCCAGCTCCAGGCGCCTTGTGGGAAGGCTGCAGGAGGGAAACAGGACAGGAACACTTGATAAAGCCATTTTTCTGGACCCCAATCAATGAGTTACCTTCAGTAGTTCTTTCTAAAAGTTCAAAGATGACAGGGTGGCAGTTTCTGGGCTCCATTGTTGCTGCTCTGAGTGGAGATGGAGGAGGAGGAAGAGGAGGAAGCTGGGCTGCTGCTGCTCTGCCCTGGGGGGGGGGGCGTTGGGTGACTCCCCATCCCCTTCCTCTTCCACGCAGGTCTTGCACTGCCTCCTTTCAACTGACACGCTGCAGTTCCCTGTCTTGGTTGCCCAGCAGTCTCCGGCCGCCGTGTCCATGGACACCTATTGCGTCTCCCTGGCTGTGCAGCAGGCCCAGGTGAAGGAGGCAGGAGGAGGAGGGGGCTGAGCAGGGGCAGGAAGGGGGGGGTTGCTGTGGTGCAAGGGGGCCTCCACATCCTTGCACTGCTGACAGCCGCTAGGGAGATGTGGGGGGTCGCATGTGATTCCGCCTGGCCATTTGCACTGACGTCCCCTTTCTCCTGTTGGCCAGCTGGAGATCTGCCTGGAGGAGGTGGAGGACGAGGGGCTGCTGGTCTCCTGGGCATTCAAAGACAGGCCTGACCTGAAGCTCTCCATCCCACCGAGACTCCAGCCGCACCGGGTAAGCAAAGGAGGGGCAGGTGACGAGGATGAAAGCCCCCCCACCCCCGTGGCCCCTTCCCTCCCTCTCCTGGAGCTCTGCTTCGCTTCTGCCAAGAAGACCCGGGTGGGGGGGTGGGGGGGGGCTTTTGCCGCCACTGCAAACACCTCGCCAAGCACGGAGCCTTTGGCCATCAGCCGTGCGCAGGGCTGCCTGGGGGGGGGGGATGTGTGGCCCTCTGGCGTTGGCGGATGTGGCCGATCCGTGTAGCTCAGTGCGAAATAAAGAGGATTCCTGAGCGTCTCAGAAACTCCCCAGCGCACCTGCTGGCCTGGCATCATTGTCCCGGTGCCCCTTGCAGGAAAGCGATGGGAAGGCGGACTTGTCCATTATCAAGAATCTGATCGAAGACTCCATTATCAGCACCCAGCCTGCCATGATGGTGAACCTGAAGGCCTGCATTACGAACGCCAAGACGGTGAGGGTGGAGGGCTGGAGGGAAAACCGAAGGGGGCCCCAGCTGGGCATTAAGAACCCACCGTCCCTGTCGGCCCGGGGGAGCTGACCTACGGCCGGCCTCCTTTACCAGCTTTGGGCCAGCACTTCCATCGCCTGCTGCCCTTCAACCCTTGCCCCCTGGCTCTGCCCCGCAGGAGACCAGCAGCAGGCCGTCCCTGGGCTCCCTCTCGGGCTCAGCACCTGCCCTGACGCCAAGGCTGCTTCTCCAGCACCTGCGGGCTCTGCACCTGACGCCCCGGGAGAGCCAAGGTACCCGGGCGCCCCAGGGGTTTTCAGGAGGAGGGGGGTCTGTGGGCAATCGGGTGGGCTGAGCTTCGGCTGCACCGCTGTTGGCTCCTCTTGCAGGAAACGGGCTGCTGTGCTGCGAGGTGGAGCTGGACAGCCCTCGGCAGCAGAAGAGAACGGCGCCCGTGCCGGCCGGTCCGGCCACTGAGGTGGAGTGGCCCGGCAAGCTGCTTCTGTAAGGAGCCCCGAGCTTCCCGTGTTTGGGTCACGGGGTGGGGTGGGGGGGGCTGGGAAAAGGGGGGGGGGAGTGCCACGGCCAGAGTCCTGGAATGGCAAAACCAGCGCTGGCTGGCTGCAGGGATGCCAGGTATATCACTGCCTACCCTGTGGGCGAGGCCAGAGGCCCCTGCTCCCCACTCGCGTGCCCGCAGGCAGTCTGCTCTTCAGACCCCTCCCTTCCCTTGGGGAGCTCTGCCCTCCAGCCGCTGGGCAGTGAGAAAGTGGCCCTGATTCAGGAAAGGAATTAGCCGGGCGAGGCTGAAGGCCTCTCTGCTTCCTCCCTCCCTTCCTGCCCCCAACAGGGAGCTTGGCCCCCGGAGCAAAGAGCTGGTGCTGAGGGTGTTGGAAGGCAGCCCTTCCGGAGAGGGTGAGTCCTCTGTGGGCAGCTGCAGGGGGGCAGGGGGGCAGGGGGCTGGGCTCGGCTCCTAAGCCAACAGCTGGAAGAGCAGAAAGGGGCCGGAAGTGTCTTCGGGGGGGGGGGCTGCGGAAGGAGCTGCTGTGGTCCTGTGGGCCTCACCTGCTTGCTTCCTCCTTGCAGATGTGCTTCTGGGATTTGTGGCTGTCCCCGTAGACCCCTCCTCCAAAGAGCCGCAGGGGCAGCAGCTCTACCTGCTGAGCCCAGGGCCCGCCCGGGCTCTGCCCCCAGCAGCCGCCATTGCCGTGGAGGTGAGAGGCCAGAGTGGCCGGAGGCTCAGATTCACGGTTGCCTCCCTTGCTTTACACGTCTCAACACCCCCCCCGCTCCCCCCCCCATTTCCCAGCTGTAAGCCAAACGCGCTGATTTTGAGCGCAGGCAGGGCTGGGGAAGTCCGAGCAACAGAGGAGGTGGGGAAACGTTTGGGTGAGTCTGCACGGCTTATGAAAACTTCATGCCGCCTTCTTCAAGCCATAACCCCCCACCCCCCAAGCCCCTTTCCTGGGCACAGGGCAGAACGATGCTCCCCCTCATGTCTCAAAGGTCTCCAGCCATGTGGAGCTGCCGGCAGCCGCTGTGATTCAGCTGATCAGCTCCACAGCAGACAGTCTGGGATGTGGAATCCGCCCCGTGGGTCTTTGCGTGTGTGAGACAGAAGGGGGGTTTCTGATGAGGCGTTGCCTGTGCTTCTCTCTTGGGCTCTCTTGACAGCTGCTCCACCAGGACGTCCCAGAGCTCCAGGCTGCCTCCTCCCTGCGCACCAGCATCACCCCCACCAAGAAGGTCGAGATGGGCCGGACCATAATGCCCGATGGCACCATTGTCACCACCGTCACCACCATCCAGTCCAGGCCCAAACTGGACTGTAAGCTTGGTAAGATCTCCTCATTTCAACCACCCCCAATGGCCACCTTCGGCCTGAGCGATGAGGAGACAGCAGCCTTGGCATGGTGGGATTCCTCTTGAAGCAACTGCCCCCTCCTCCCGGCCGCAGCCGGGCATTGTCCTAGCGCAAAAGAGGAGCGGTGCGTTTCCGCAGCTGCTGCTGAAGGGAGATCTCTGCTGGATGTGATTGACGCTTCGCTGACCCTCTTTTCTCCTGCACTCCAGATTCCCCCTCCAGGTCTCCGTCCAAAGTGGAAGTGACGGAGAAGGTCACCACGATGCTCCCGGAGAACGGCTGTCCCAGCAGAGCCTCTCCCTGCAGCAGCCGTGAGTCACGTTGTCAGAAACCTTTAGGGAGACTGTGAGATGGACGGCGCTGGGGGGACGCTGCCCTTCCGGCCTTTCTGAAGAAGCAGGGGGCCACCTGTAATTTTTCACCCTCTTCCTTCTCTCCGGCCTTGGCTATACGGGGATGGGAGCCAAAGAGCAGAGCAGCTGGGTTCCTTCCAGATATTTGGTATTGCCCGAATGGGCAAAACAGCTGTGGATCACGGGAAGGAGTTCAAAATAACCGGAAGGCACCAGATTAACCTTGACGAAATGCTTCCAGTATTGGATAGGAGGAATTGCTCAGCACGCTTATTAAATCCACCCACCCTGAGTGGCTGAGTTCCCCTGGGTCAGGCAGCAGGTTCTTGGTTCCCCCCGCCTGGCCGGCTGCCCTGAACACGCTTGAATGGAAGCAGAGGCCTCTCGGCCACTTGTGCAAAGCCAGGGGTTTGCCAGGGCCGCTCTGTGCAATTGGCCCATTGGGGCCGCGTGTCTCTTCTCCCCCAGGAAGCAGCTGCGTCTCCAACGGCCTGGATCCCGTGGCCGAGACGGCCATTAGGCAGCTGACGGACCTGACCAACAAGCCTGCCAAGAAGACTCCGACCAAGCGCAGCACGCTGATCATCTCGGGGGTTTCCAAGGTAACCGGCAGCTTCTCCGGCTGAGAATTGAGGCCGCTTTGTTTACTTCCACTGATTCACTGGATCGGCCTTTCGTGCTGCGCGGGGAAGGGAGCCCCCCTGCCCCCCTCCCGCCTTTCAGCTCCTCTCTGTCCCGCTCTGTGCAGGTACCCATCGGCCAGGACGAAACGGCCCTCTCCCTGGGCTACGCGGGGTCCCTGCAGGAAGACTCCACCCTGGCCGGCCTCTCAGAATACGCCCCACTGAGCACCTGCGAAGCTACGCAGCCGCTGGAAAGTTCACACTCGCCTCAGATGGCGAGCCAGGATCTGGACGAAACCACCCATTCCGACATCTCCGAGAGACCCTCAGTGGACGACGTGGAGTCGGAAACGGGCTCGACAGGCGCCCTGGAGACCCGGAGCCTGAAGGACCACAAAGGTGAGGGAGGAGGCCGGCTTTCTCCTGGGCAGGGACCCCCTGGTCCTCTTCTGTAGGGGCAGCCAGGACTCGGGAGGGGCCCTCTGATCCAGTCTCCAACAGGCATGACGGGCTTGGCACCCCGTGCCAGGTTCACAGTGGTCTCCTCCTCCTCCTCCTCCTCCTCCTCCTCCTGCTGCTGCAGTGGGCTTCCTGCGAAGTGGCACCAAGCTCATTTTCCGGAGGAAGAACAAGCAGAAGGAGGCTGGGCTCAGCCAGTCGCACGATGACTTGCCCAACGCCAGCACCGCCTCCGCCCCCAGGAAGAAGTCCGGAAGCTTCTCTCGGCGTCTCATCAAGCGCTTCTCCTTCAAGGGCCGGGCGAAGAGCAAACCCAACGGGAGCAGCCCCCCGTCAGCGGAGAAGCCCTGAGGAGCCGCTGCGTCAGCCGTCTCCAGAAGCCCCCCCCCCCCACCCGACCGTCACCAGTGGTTGCTGTCTATGCACCGTGGCCCCCAACCCCCCCCCCCCAATCCTCCTGTGCGAAGGAGCGAAGTCCTGCCCAGAGCCTCAGGACACGGACGCTTGGTGGCATCAGGAGTGTAACGGACACCTCGGAGCATCTGCTGAGCGCTCCTCTTTTAGCCTAGGTGGGGAGGGGGCAGCCCCCAGGGCAGCCCGAATCTGAAACCTCTGTGTGTGTGTGTGTGTGTGTGTGTGCATGTGAGACGCAGAATGATTTTATGGTGGCGCCTCCAACCACTGCCACTCTGCCTGCCAGGCTGTGTTGAACAGCAAGGGCAAGTAGCCGGTGGGTCCGTGGGAGGAGGGGGAGGAGGACAGGCAGGCCAGGCTCTTGGTCCCCGAAATGTGGCTCCCGAAGACCCTCCCTTTGGTGGCAGAGCCCTCAACCCAGCCTTGGCTGCTGCCAGGAGGGAGCAAGAGAGCTTCCAAGCAGGAGGCTGCCTTCTCAATCTCTTCCCTGTGAGCCTCGGGGGCATGGAGGCACCCGGCTGAGTTCCCCGCTTTGCTGGGCACAGAAGGGACGAGGAGAAAGGAGGCGCCGTCTGCTGGACACAGCGCTGGAGGCTCCCCAAGAGGCAGAGACTGGACTGCACCGTCCTGATCGGGACCATTAGATGTCCAGCTGGATGCCGCTCCTGACCGTGACTGGCAATGCACATGAATGGGGGGGGGAGAGGGGGGGGAACACTTGCTGAGGCTGGGCTGGCCCCTCCCTGCAGGTTCCTGGAAACAGACTGCGGGTGGGGCAACAAGGAAATCACTGTTTTGTAACCTAGAAGTCAGGTTTTGGGAGAAGTTTGGAAGAGGCTTTGCTGAAACTCCACGTTTCTAATTGGCAATGGAGGAGGGAGGTGTCATTTAATTGCAGGTGGGATGGCTCCCCTTTCCTTGGAGCAGGTTGAACCCTGCCTAAGCCCCCAACCCCCCACTGGGCTTCTCTTCTGGCTGCCTGGGTCTGCGGGGCAGGGCTCTCCCTCGGGGGAACAGGCTTTTGCCTGGAAAGAAATGCCTGCAGCTTTCCCCACAGAGGACTGCACCCTTCAGGAGGGGCAGGGGGCATTGTGAGGGGGGTGGGGCGGTGTCGGGGGGGGGGGTTGTCTGCCCGGGGAAGGAGGGAGGTGGGTCCAGCGGGCATATTGCTCCTGCTGGCCCTCCAGGCCTTCTCCCCTGGGGTGTCCTGGGAGCCCCGTGCACTGGGGGGCACTTCCTATGACTGTCCCTGTCCGTTCGGTTGGAGCGGGGAGAGGTGAAGAGTTTGATTTAGGCTGTTCAGTTGAGGTTGAAGTCATTGGTGCAGCTTCGCTGTGAGACCGGCTGTTCCACATTCCTCTCCTGACCCCCCCTGCTGCCTGCGACTCTGTGATTTGACTCAAGCCTGTCCGAACGTTGCAGATAACTTCTGTATTTGCCTACTTGCTACCTTTGCCCTCTTTGTCCACTCTTGGTGGAATTACTTGTAGATTTACCTTTGGAACCATTTGGATCAGGGGCGTCCCGGCTTTTTTTCCATTTCTAACAGGGGTGCAGATAAAAGAGTCAGCCCTGCATTCTGACTTCTGTGGAACCTGCTGCTTTGGTTTAGGAAGGAGTGGGGAGGGAGGGCGCCTCCTCGCCTGGCACATCTGTCTCAGAGCTCGACCAGTGGGGTCCTTGGACTTAGCCCAGGGTGGCCGGACAAGTTGGCTTCCACCAGCTGCCCTTAGCGTCCTCGATGTCAAAGTTCAATGTCCTTCCTGGCTTCTCTTGAGCCTCTTGCTTGGGAAATGTTTGCCAGAGAAGGAAGGGGGCAGCCCGGAGCCTCGTCTTGTGGGAGGAAAAAGTTGAGTCAGTGCAATAAAAGTGATGGCCAGGAACCAATTTGTCATTTGCTTATCTGGCATAAGGGCGAATAAACAACGTGGGTCAAGGAAAGTGGACATTTATCACTTTATTTCTGATCAGAAGCAAAGGGGCTGCGAGGCATCCTGAGCAAGACTGGCATTCTATTTCCACACCTCAAGATACAGGAGTTCACAAAGACAATTCAACGATTGGTTGCAAACTCCTTACAATTATAGCACATGTGTAAGCGATGATGTTCAGTGTTGAATAACACGTGTACAAGTCGTGCTGTTCAGGTGCTCTTAGCGTGATGTACATCACCAAGACCCCTGCTTGCCCCTCATCCTAAGCCGAAATGACACTGTTCTGACTGCGTCCTGGGCACCCAGCTAGGGGTTTCTGCAGGGCCTGTTTTCAGAGTTCCTTATCAAGTGTGCAGATCTTGTTCTGATCTAGCTAAGACGTTGGCAGCTTCCTGTTCTGAGTGTCTATGCAGACAAGATGAAAGCAGACTGATAAGAATATGTTCCTTTCCAATGAAGGGCCTTCAAGGCCCTTCAGCAGGTCCCAAGAGGGCCCAGTTCAACAACGGCTTGCAATGGAAAAGGGAGGGTTATGTCCAGGTGGCTTGCCCAGTGGAGCCAGTGCAGAAGCTGAGCATATTCAATGAGTTGTGACCAGCCAGCCAGCGCTTTACGCTCTTCTGATCAAAGTAATGGGGCAAATGCTGGGGGTGGTGGTATTTTATAGCTTGGTTTGCTCAAGGCAAGCAGAGGCAGCTCCCTTCCAGACTGGGGGGCTTCCGCTGAGGGTCCAGTGCCAGTGCAGTGGGCATCCTCAGCCACTTTGGCCGGAGGGATTCCCCCTCTCAGGCCAGCAGGGTGAAAGAGCCTTCAGGTGACCCAAGGCCAGGCTGCCCATCGCCGGCCACTTTCCCTTCCTGCTCCAGGCAACGGGGCAGCAGGGAAGGTGGCAAATGTGGGGGCTGCCCCTCAACCTGCGCCAAGAGACCTCTGGCTGACGCCGATGCCCTCCGAGGCGGGCGGAGAGGAGCTGGAGAGTCTCCGCCCTCTGCTGGACGGCGCCTGCTGCTGCACCTCAGGAGGTCTCGGGTACCCGGCGATTGCACCGTCCCGCATCATTTCACCTGGGGAAGCGGATCTCCCGAGCCACGCGCGCACCTGGAGGGGAGACGCCTCCCGCTGCACCTGTTGGCGGCCCCTGCTGTTTGCGATGGGCTTTAGGAAGCGGAATTGGAACCCAGATCCGCGCCCGGGACCCCGTGGCCCGGGAGGGGGGGGGAACCGGGTTTCTCCGCTGAGGCTCAGCGGGGCTTTAATCCACTTTTCACGATGCACCAAACCACGAAAGCGGCAGACCAACCCGGAGCCCGCGCATCTTCGCCCGCGCGTCCCGGAGCTTTCCTCCCCGGCGCAGTGCTGATCGCCCGGCAGGTCGGTTCCACCGAGGGCTCCGAGAAGGTCCGTTCCCGGGCGCCGAGAGCGACAGCCGTCGGTCCCACCGGGCAGCGGAAGGGAGCGCTGGCGGGCAAACGGGGTTGCGGCGCCCCCGCCCCGCCGCCGCCCCCGCTCCCTTTAGCCGGGCTGCCCTCGCCAAGCGGAGGAGACGCGCCCTCGGAGCGCCCGAAGAACAGCGCCGGGGCCGGGCCGCCTGCAGCTCAGCTCCTCCTCCCGCCGCCTGCGCAAAGGCGCCTCCTCCTGGGCCAGGACTACAGCTCCCGGCGAGCTCCGGCAGAGGGAAGCTTGGCCGCCGCCGCCGCCGCCTTTCCGCCCGCGGGCCCGGTGCCTCTCCCGCCCCGCCGCGCCGTTGGCAGAGATGCCGCTGTAGGACCACCGCCGCCGCCCGCGCTCCGCTCTCCCGCCGCTCCTCCGCAGAGGCGGCCGGCATGTCTCCGGCGCTGCTGGCGCTCTGGCTGTGGCTGGGCTCGGGCGGGGCGCGCGGCCCGGGGGGGGCCCCCGGGGGGGGGCG